GCCTTATAGGGCTAGAATCAAGGTCTCAGGTGGATTCCATTTCCTTCTGGAGACTCCAGAGAAGAATCTACTTCCAACTCATTCAGGTCATTGGCTAAATTCAGTTTCTTGCTGCTATGGTTTGAGTTTATCCCCTCTGAAACTTGAAATTTAATCCTCATTGTGGTAGTGTCAGGAGGTGGGCCCTAGTGGGAGCTGTTTGGGTCATGGGGTTGGAACCCTCATGAACAGATTAATGACCTTCCTGAGAAGTGAGTGAGTTCTTCCTCTGGAGGGTCTGTATTACCAGGGATCTGCTTGTTATAAAATCAAGTCAGCTTCCCAGACTGTTTCTTGCTTCCTGTGTCATCATGTGATCTCTCTGTATATACCTGCTGGCTTTTCCACTTCTCTGCCATTGGCCTAACCCAGCATGCAGCCCTCACCAGAAGCAGGCCAGATGCAGCACTATGCTCTTGAACTTCCCAGCCTAAGGACTCATGAGCTAAATAAACCTCTTTTCTTTATAAATTACCCAGCCTCAGCCTCCAGCATTACGTTATAGCAACACAAAACAGACACTTGCGGTTGTAGGACTAGGGTCCCCATTTTCTTACTGGCTGCAGCCAGGCCATGCTCAGCTCCTACTGTTAAGCTGCACTCCTTGCCATGTGGACCCCTCCATCTTCAAGCTGGCAGGAGAATTTTCCTATGTCAAATCCATCTCATTCTTTGAAGTCCCAACTCTCCCTATCTCTAACTTCTAACCAGATTTAAAGAGCTCCTGTGGTTAGGTTAGGCCCATCTGGATAATCTCCCTACTTGGGAGCTTAATTAGGTCTCCAAAATCCCTTCACGACAATAGCTAGAACAGTCTTTGAATGAATAACTGAGAGAAGGTAGATGTACACCAAAGACCAGGGATTTGGGAAATATCTTAGAATTCTTCCATCACAACTATAAAAGTTTAAAATGATTGTGCATATGAATATATGTACATATATAGTAAATACATATGTACACATACATACCAGGTTTATATCTTGATGTAAGTCTTCTTTGTCTTATTTAATTTAAAAACTATGCTTCCTTTCCCATAAAACTAACCACTGGTTCTTCAGTAATCATTCAGCCCAATTCAGTGTATTCTGATTGAACACCCAATGCATGTCTGGCTCTGTTCCTGCTCTTCAAATGCCCTTCAAGGGTGTGAAATCCAGTAGTAGAAGACAAAACAAGTGCATACCCATTGCTCTAAAATATAGCAGAATAGCCCAAGAGGGGCAGATCCTGTCCTGTTGAAGAGATTTAAAAAGCTTCAGGGAGGAAAGGACATCTGACTTTAGTCTCGAAGAACAGATGAGATTGTTAACAAGCAGAGATTCACAAGTAGGTGATTGGAAAATCCAGATAGAAGTCGTCAAGTAATTATATGTGCAAGGACATTAAGAGGAGAAAATATGGGCCAGAAAACAGCTGGCACATCTGTTTGAATGGAGAAGAACAGCAGATGAGATTAGAAGGGTATGTTTGTATCAAACAGGACTTGGAAGCCAAATTAAAAAATAATGGAGGATCATGGAAATGGAGGAAACAACAAAATTAGTGCTGCAGAGGAAAATCCTGAACTCCATTTTTTTTTTTTTTTTTAAGACGGAGTCTCCTCTGTTGCCCAGGCTGGAGTGCAGTGGCACAATTGGCTCACTGCAACCTCTGCCTCCCAGGTTCAAGAAATTCTCTGCCTCTGCCTCTCAAGTAGCTGGGATTATAGGTGTCTACCACCACACCTGGCTAATTTTTTGTATTTTTAGTAGAGACAGGGTTTCACCATCTTGGCCAGGCTGGTCTTGAACTCCTGACCTCGTGATCCACCTGCCTTGGCCTCTCAAAGTGCTGGAATTACAGGCATGAGCCACCGCGCTCAGTCAAATCCTGAACTCTTGTGATGGGAGATGAGGAAGGAGGATTTGTCAGTCATCCATGCTACAAGCAGGAAGGCCTATGCTCAGGGAGTGAACACAGAAATGAAAATCAGAGAGGCGTGCCCAAGGTGCAAAATGTGGGTTAAAAGAGAAAGAGGAGTAGTCACGAATGACTCAGAGCTTACAACTGGAGAACGTTCCCTGATTGCAGCTTATTATCACCTCACATATATCAGTTGGCCTTGCTTTGTGACTCAAGAAATCACAGACTCATAGGACTCTGTGGCTGGAAAGGATCTCAGAGATCTCAGAGAGAGGGTGATTGAGAACTGGCCAAGTTAAATATCATTTCAAAGACACTTGGCTGATTAATGACAGGAGACTGAGGCAAGTAAGCTCAGGCTTCTGCATCTTCCATCAGACCGACTGCTGGTTTCCTGGTAATCTTTACAAAGCTCTTCTAGAGGCAATATGCAAAAGGCACATAGCATAATTTGTCACTTAGCAGAGGCCAGAACAGGGCTGAGGCTTGGCACGCATGAACTGGCACCATTTCAGGACTAATTTATGTCTCATTTCTTTGAAGACTGCTTTCTGAAACGGCAGTCTCCAAAATTTTTTGAAAAAGTAGACTGCCCGAGATGGGTGCACAGCACAGGCAAATGTTATACGTGGATAAATATGTGCTAGGATTGCCTTCAGAATTTCCACAGAACAGTGTTTTTCCTACTATCTCCCAGAGATTTCCAGTGTTTAAGTTTCAAAAACTCAAACTCTCCTTCAATATTGGTTCTTAAGCTGAGGGGAGACCAGGGCACTGCCAAAGCCACTAAGATATTTTCAAAGCAAAATCCTTCCTGTTAACTTAATCGCGGCAGAATGACTGTAGCCAGCTCTTTGGCAATTTCTTCTACCCAGCTTGAAGGGTTTTCCAATCATAGCAAATAGCTACTGAGTGGAGGGGACTCTGGAAGCTCTTGCTTCTGGGTCTTGAAAGTGTGCACATCTTAATTCTCCTGATAAAAGCATCTCTTTTCCTCATGAGAATGCCATTCCCAACCCTAGAGCTTCAGGGGATGGACTGGCAAAAAATATATATATATACACAAAATACATATATATGTATGTACATATGTATACAAAATATATGTAGGTATGTATACAAAATATATATGTATACAAATATATATATGTATATATATATATATATATATATGAATGTTGAAATGTGTGGCTGTTTCTTGTGGCCCTTATTAAAGTCCTGCAAGTAAAGGGATCTTGGCCCATGTACACACACAAACTGCACAGCACCCATCTTTGCCGAGAGGCCCTCGCTGCCTGGAAATCAGCAATCCAAGATGGCCAACGGTTATGGCCTTGCACCCTGCTGAAAAGCCAACTCTGAAAACCCTTATTGCAGTCGGTTTGAGCAGAGGTTAAAAAGATGAAAATAAGATTAGGAGAGAAGCAGACAAATAGAAGAAGCCTAATTACCCAGGCCCCTGCACAGTATTCTCTACTTACAGGATTAAAAAATCCCCCATTAGAAAGCGCTATCCACTGGAATCCTTAGGGAAGGAAGTTTATACTGGCCAGTTGATTGTTGTATGCTGCTGTGAAGCAGGGGAGAGGATGCAAAGGGTTAAACTGATACTGTGGGCGAAGGGCAGAATTTCTCAGCCTGTTGCTAGGACTCATAAACCACACGGAAAAGGTCCAGATTCCAAGGTCATAAAAGGGACAAATTTCTGGTATTGGCTACAAACGAATGGAATTCCTGGGAATCAAATCCACTGGCTGCCTGCCTGTTGGTTTTAAAGAAATGTACCCATACTGCCAGGGAAATCCCTAGCCTGGAAAACAAAGACCTGTGATTGCTCAAACCCTAAGGCAATTTCCCCGCCTGGATAACTCTTCCAAAGCAAAGAAGGTTTAAGCTGTACAGCACGCAGTAAAGATGTTCCCCTGCATCTCTTAGGAAAGGCTTTGAAGGAAATGGACAAGGGGTCCCATCAGGCAGACCCAAACTGACCACCCAAGTGACCCATTCTGCTGCCAGGGCAGAGGGTGCTTGCTTCTCCTGGCCAGCAAGAGGTGATTATTGCAATAGCCCCCCTGACCACTGTACACTACTTTACCTTTTCTTTCTTTCTAAATTAGAGTATTTATTGTGTTATTCAGTTTTCCCTCTCATATCATATACTGTGGTTTGAGGTTGGTTAAATTTGCCGTTTAGTCATAGATTACTTACATAAAGCACAAGAAACACATCTGGACTTGATCAAGAGGAACATGCTATCCCCAGGATTCCTAATCTTGGAGCTGGATGCGGTAACAGACCCAGCTCTGAGTTGTCTTCCACTAGGGTTCCATGTGAGATCGTACGTGGGATAGTTTCATTTTGTTAAGGGAAGATGTTTTTCTCAATATTGTATGTGTATGTGCACAAGCTACACAGCCAAATGGTAGTGGACTATTGTAGCTCTTGTATTGGTCTTTCAGCATCTTTTCCTTCTCCATTTCTTGATGGGGATTTTGTCTCCCTCTCAGGTCAACCCTGGTGGACCTATTGGTCACATTGCTGTGCCTCCAACCAGCCATGAAGAGGCATAAAACCCAAGGGAGGCCGATCATCCTAGCCTTTTTCCTATTCACAGTGATCCATCCAACGGACAGTCACTAAACCTAGGAAGAAAGCATATTTCCCTGAATTGAAAAGCTATGTGTTCCCAGTGAAATTGCAAAGCTGGGGAAGCTTGGCATCCCTCCCTCTCATATGTCTTGTAGTAGAAGGAAACAAAGCCAAGTCACGCTTAAAAACAGAACTCAAATAAGAGCAAGACAGAAAGAGAAGTCCTACTCACAGTGTTGAGTCCCCAGGCCCAGTTCCTGGAGCCTTGGTGGGGTAGCTCTTAATTCCATAAGCTCCCATCCACTCACCCTCCTCCCATCTTTTTCAGCTATAAAGCTTTTTGCTTAAGGTAGTATGAATTGGGTTCTGGTCACCAGTGACAATTTTAAAAACAGATCTCATCAACGTGAACTTGATGCTGCAGAGAAGAAAGAAGAACAGCATTCGTAGACGGAAAATAATTTTACCTTTCACCTGAGCCCAAACTGCACAGGAATGTCTTCTCACCTATAAAGGAAAACAAAGCAATGCATTTAACCAGGTGGCACACAGTGTCAGTAGAAATAACACAGTTTGGAGGCTGAAGCCCTCTGAGTTTCAGCTTTTTCAATCTCTTCATGTGAAGTAGATCTTTAAAGTCCAATCTAGCTCTAATATCTTGTGATATCACTAAGTGCTCAAGGGACTGGCATGGATTGCATGGACAGATGTGACCCTACAGATCACTTCTATAGGCTTCCAATAGGTCTTGAAAAGTACACATGATAGGCCAACAACAGGAGTGGCAAGAAGGATCATTCCCCTGGCCAGCTCTGGGCAACTGGCATGGACTGCCTGGAGAACTATGCTAAAAAGGATTCTGAGGTCACATGTTCAGAAGGTTCAGCAAGAAGTGGTGATGCATGTTACAGGCAAAGCTACAAGAATTCCCAGTATACAATACTTCACCTATCTGGATGTCACTTGGCAATGTCAGTTACCCAAAATGTGTCCATGAACCAGGAAGAAAGGAACAGGAACATATTTGAAAGTTCATCCATAGTAGAAGAAACCTACAGATTCATTGGAATGAACACCTCTTCCCCTCTACCATTATGATATGCATATTTACCTCTTAGAAATGCTGGGGACTTGCTGTGTATAAGACTTGAAACTATTACCCAGAGGAAGCTGAATGGTGAGGGTTAGAGAAGAATCCTTCCAGCCAGGCACAATGGCTTATGCCTGTAATCCTAGCACTTTGGGAGGTCGAGGTGGGCAGATCACCTGAGGTCAGAAATTCAAGACCAGCCTGGTGAACATGGTGAAACCTCATCTCTACTAAAATACAAAAATTAGCCGGGCATGATGGCAGGTGCCTGTAATCCCAGCTCCTTGGGAGGCTGAGACAGGAGAATCGCTTGAACCTGGGAGACAGTGGTTGCAGTGAACCAAGATCGCGTCACTGCACTTCAGCCTGGGTGGCTGAGCAAGACTCCGTCTCAAGAAAAAAAAAAAAAAAGAGAAGAATCCTTCCAATGTCATTAGGAGATCCTCTTTCAAATGACAGCCTTGGGCATTCTGGTCTTGATTTTATTAATTTTCTTTTTAACTTAAGCTTAAAAATTCTGAGAAAAGCTGCTGGATGTAATGGCTCACATCTGTAACCTGTAATCCCAGCTTTGGGAGGCTGAGGTGGGCGGATCACCTGAGGTCAGGAGTTAGACACCAGCCTGGCCAACATGGTGAAACCCCGTCTCTACTAAAAATGTGAAACAGCCAGGCATGGTGGCGGATGCCTTTAATTCCAGCTACTTGGGAGGCTGAGGCAGGAGAATTGCTTGAACTCGGGAGGCAGAGGTTGCAGTGAGCCAAGACCATGCCATTGCACTCTAGCCTGGGCAACAGAACAAGACTCCATCTCAAAAAAAAAAAGGTCTGAGAAAATCTTAGCCATAAGGGTTTGAATGTGACTAACATTTGCTTTGATGCTAAGTGCAGAGATTATGAATGGAAGGTAATGTGCAAGAATAACCAGTGAAGGACATATTTCAAGACACTGGAGAATGGAAGGGACCTCAAGTAGCAAGGCAGTTTGGGGGAATGGAGTATATCAAAGGAGAGAAACTGGCAGGGGCCAGGTGAAGGAAGGAGCTTATTAAACTGAAATGCCTTGATCATACTTGCATTTTATAAAACTCATGCTGGCAGTGGTATGGAGCAAGGAGATGGGTAGAATAAGAGACAGGAAGACGAGTTAGAAAAGTGATGTTCAGGTAAGAGATGGCAAAGCCCGAGCGGTGCAGATGAAGGAGAGGAAAGGATGATTTTAAACAGAATTAAGGTGATAGAAATGACATGATTTGCTGATGGTCTGGATAAGAAGGTAAGCAAGAAGGAAGAGACAAAAACTATTCACAGGTCTCTGTCTTAGCAACAGGAGGCATGGTGATGCTATTTACTAGGACAGACACACAAAGGGAAAAACAAAATGAGGGAGTTGGAAGACTCATACTCCCTGATTTCAAAATTTAGTACAAAGCTACAGTAAACAAAACAATGTGGTACTGACATAAAGAACAGACATAGAGACCAATGGAATAGCATAGAGAATCTAGAAATAAACCCTTGCATATATGTCAAATGATTGCTAACAAGAATGCCAGACCATTCAATGGGGAAAAGACAGTTTTTTTCTGACTTGGCATACTGGCTCACACCTGTAATACCAGTACTTTGGGAGGCCAAGGTAGGAGGATCACTTGAGATCAGGAGTTTGAGACCAGCCTGGGCAACATAGGGAGATCCCATTTCTACAAATAATTTTTAAATATTAGCCCGGCATGGCGGTGCACACCTGTAGTCCCAGCCACTTGGGAAGCTGAGGCAGGAGGATCAGGAAGACCATTTGAGCACAGGAGGTTGAGGCGGCAGTGAGCCATGATTGCACCACTGCACTCCAGCCTGGGTGACAAAGTGAGACACTGTTTCAAAAAAAATTTTTTTTCTACAAATGGTACTGGGAAAACTGAATATCTACATATAAAAGAATTAATGTGTAAATGGATCAAAAACCTAAATATAAGACCACAAACTATAAAACTCTTTTTATTTATTTATTTTTATTTATTTATTTATTTATTTAAAGATGGGGTTTCACCATGTTGGTCAGGCTGGTCTTGAACTCCTGACCTCAGGTGATCCGCTTGCCTTAGCCTCCAAAGTGTTTGGATTACAGGCGCGAGCCACCACGCCCGCCACTATAAAACTCTTAGAAGACAACACAGAGTAAAAGCTTCATGAAACTGGATTTCTCAGTGACTTCTTAGAAATGGCACTAACAGGTAATAAAAGAAAAAATAGACAGACTGAACATCATCAAAATGGAAAACTTTTATGCATCTAAGAACACTATCGACAGTAAAAATGCAACCCAAAGAAGGGACGAAAATATCTGCAAATCACGTATTTCACAAGGGATTACAGTAATATCCAGAGTATATGGAGATCTCTTAAAATTTAACAAGAACAAAAACAAATAACCCACTCAAAAATGAGCAAAGGTCTTAAATAGACATTTCTCTAAAGAAGATACACAAATGGCTGATTAGCCCATGAAAACGTGGTCAACATCACTGGTCATTAGGGAAATGCAAACCAAAACCAGAATAAGATGTCCTCTCATGCTGGGAGTAGTAGCTCACACCTGTAATCCCAGCACTTTGGGAAGTCAAGGTAAGTGGATCACTTGACCCTAGGAGTTCAAGACCAGCCTGGGAAACATGGCAAAATCCTATCTCTACAAAAAGTAGAAAAGTTAGTCGGGTGTGATGGCATGTACCTGTAGTCCCAGCTATTCAGGAAGCTGAGGTGAAAGGATCACCTGACCTCAGGGGTTCAAGGCTGCAGTGAGATGTGATTGAACCACTGTACTTCAGCCTGGGCAATAGAGTGAGACCTCATCTCCTACTTCCAAAGCAAAAGGTGTCACCTTGGGGCCAGACGTGATTGCTCCTCCCTGTAATTCCAGCACTTTGGGAGGCTGAGATCAGGAGATCGAGATCAGCCTGGCCAATATGGTGAAACTCCGTCTCTACTAAAAATACTAAAAATTCGCTGGGCGTGGAGGCAGGTACCTGCAATCCCAGCTACTCCGGAGGCTGAGGCAGGAGAATCACTTGAACCCAGGAAATAGAGGATGCAGTGAGTTGAGGTCACACCATTGCACTCCAGCCTGGGTGACGAGAGTGAAACTTCGTCTTAGGAAAAAAAAAAGATGTCACATCACACCCTACCTTATAATAGAATGCCTACTACAAGAAAAAAGAAAAACAGCAAGTGTTAGCAAGGAAATGGACAAATTGAAACTCCTACACGCTGCTGGTGGGAATGACAAATGGTGGTAGTTCCTCAAAAAATTAAACATAGAATTATCATTTGATCAAACAATTCCACTTCCAGATATATCTACAAAAGAACTGAAAGCAGGGACTCAAACAGATATCTGTATACCAATGTTCATAGTAGCATTATTCACAATAGCCAAAAGGTGGAAAACATTCCATTATTTATCCATGGATAAATGAATAAACAAACATGATATATTCATATAATGGAATATCATCCAGTCTAAAAAAGGAAGGAAATTCTGACACATGCTACCATATGAGTGCACCTAGAGGACTTTAGGCTAAATGACATCAGCCAATCAGAAAAAGAAAATACTGAATGATCCTTATATGAGGTACCTAGAGTAGTCAAATTCATAAAGACGGAAAGTAGGGCCGGGCATGGTGGCTCATGTCTGCAATCCCAACACTTTGGGAGTCAAGGTGGGAAAATCACTTGAGCCTAGGAGTTTGGAACTAGCCTAGGCAACATGGAGAGATTCCATCTCCACAAGAAATAAAAGGTAAAAATTCGCCAGGCATGATGGTGCGCACCTGTGGTCCCAGTTAACTCAGGCGGCTGAAGCATGAATATTCGTTTGAGCCAGGGAGGTTGAGGCTGCAGTGAGCTATGATCATGCCAACTGCACTCCAGCCTGGGCAACAGAGTAAGACTCTATCTCAAAAATAAATAAATAAATAAAATAAGACAGAAAGCAGAATGATGGTTGCCAAGGGCTGTGGGAAGGAAGGAATGGGGAGTCATTTAATGAGTATAAAGTTTGTTTTGCAAGATAAAAAGAGTTTTGGAAATTGTTTGCTCAACAGTGAGAATGCACTTAATGCCACTGAACTGTACACTAAAATGGTTAAGACAGTGCCCTTTAAAATGTACTGTATACTTTAAAATGGTTAAGACAATTTTATATTGTATATATTTTACCACAATTAAAAATTCAAATTAAATCACTATTGATTTTATTGTAATTATCACACAAATATAGTTGAAACCCATGGGAAAGTCATTGCAATTCAAATATGTAGATTCAAATATAAATTTTTTCAAAGCCCTTTCATCTTTCTTAACATCCTAAAGAATAAGCACATATTCTTTTGTTCAGCTACATGAAAAAGAGTATCAAGGACATCACAGGAAAGTTTCCTGTCAACCAGAATTTGTGTGTGTGTGTGTGTGTGTGTGTGTGAGAGAGAGAGAGAGAGAGAGAGAGAGAGAGAGAGGAGAGAGAGGCAGGGTCTCACTCTGTTGCCCAGGCTGGAGTACAATGGCATAATCTCAGCTCAGTGCAACTTCCGTCTCCCAGGCTCAAGCAATCCTCCTGCCTCAGCCTCCCAAGTAGCTGTGACTACGGGCACACACCACTGTGCCTGGCTAATAAGCCACAATTCTTGTCTTAACCTCCAACTTCATTCCCTCTATTATGAACCAAATGTCTGTGCCCCTGCTCACCACCCAACCCTGCCCCAAATTCACGTGTTGAAGCCCTAACCTACAATGATATTTGGAGGTAGAATCTTTGGGAGAGAGATAGATTCAGAAGAGGTTATAGGCGTGGAGCCGTTGCGATGGGTTAAGTGTCCTAATAAATAGAGGAAGAGCAATCAGAGCTCTCCCCACCCCATTCCACCCCCACAACCCCCACCATGTGAGGACACTATAAGAAGGTGGGCTGTCCACAAGCCAGGAAGAGAATCCTCCCTGGGGAGATGAATCAGCTGGCACCTTGATCCTAGGTTTCCCAGCACAGACTGTGAGAAATAAATGTCTGTTGCCTAAGCCACCTAGTCTATCATATTTCACTATAGCAGCCCAAGCTGACTAATATGCCCTCCCCAATGAAAGTCTTAATCTAGGACAGTGGCTTTCTGAACCATCTCTAAATTTTACTCATGCTGTAGTGCCAGTGTTTCATCTGTGGCTAAAAACTCCAAGTCAGGAACCCCAAGTAATTTTCTAACAAAAAGACCTTGTCTAAGTTGTAAACACCTTTTTAGTAAGTTCAGGGGAATATATTCTGGGCTTTAACTTTCCTTTCTTTATTCCTACATATTGTTACAAAGCACTACTAGACATCTTTGCTACTTGGACAGTCTCACAAGTAACTGTTGGTTTCATAGCAAGCGTGTTTATGACACATTACATTTGCATCCTACACAGAATTTAATAGAGTGTCTCAGTTTTAAATATGTGATGAACTTTACACACAAGATGACAACATACTTTTATCTCCAATTCATCAATCAAGAGATGTTTGTATTAGTATTAATATAATCTTTCCAGTTTTCATTACCAACCCACATGAAATGACAAGCTTAGGGTTCTCCTAGGTCAACCATCACAGTGGTTCTTCCAGATCTTCCATCCCTGACGGACAAATGCAGCTCCATGATATTTACTAATTATCTAATGAATATTGAGTTCCATGTCTCAGGAAAGAACCACTGCTGGAAGAACACCAGCCTTTCTAAGGACTGAGGGGGGGAAAGCGGGACCTAAGCCCTAGCCGCAGAAGGGATGTAAGCGGAAAACAGGGCAGTGCTGTGCTTAATCTTCTGCTTCCCAGGAGAATGAGAGAGGCAGCAGCCTCGCAGGGGCACAAGGAAGTTAACAGAGAATCTAGATGTTTTTTTCCAACTTAGACTTCAGCAGTGCAATAGAATGAGGGCATCTGTAAAGCTTAAGAGCAAAAACAAAAATCAGTCCCAATGCTGATTCAGCAAGGTCCCCCAGGAGATTTAGAATCCCTATCATCTGTAAGGGTTTCACCTGTCCATCCTTCATAAAGGCAAAGTATTCACAAACATTGTATGATTGTGACACGCAGTGTCCCTCGCAAATACTGGGAAAACAAATGTTCAAACATTTAAATTTCATGCAAAGAAGAAAATACGGAGTTCACAGCACTTGGAAGGAAAGATACCTTATTCCATTCACTTGTGATTCGTAATATAATGCAGTAATCTTTCCCTGTTTTCAAGGGTGCATTATAATATTGCCCATAGTACAGCCTGTCTCCTATAGGTATCTCCATGGCATCATCTGGAACATCTTTGGCCAGTAGTTCTGCAGCCACGTATCCATCAGCATCAGAGGTGTTGCTGAAGAAGGAGGAAGCGCCTTCAGAATCACAAGAAAATGCACTTTGGAGGGCCAGGGGAAGCACTAACACCTGATATGAACTGGAAGAAAAAAGAGAAGTGTCCATCAGACCCTTGCATGGGGAATTCATTCATTCATTCATATTTATTGAGCAGCTGCTATGAGATAAGCCTCTTTCTTCTTGTTTTGTTTTGTTTTGTTTCGTTTTGAGACAGAGTCTTACTCTGTCACCAGGCTAGAGTGCAGTAGCACAGTCCTGGCTCACTGCAACCTCCACCTCCTGGGTTCAAGTGATTCTCCTGCCTCAGACTCCTGAGTAGCTGGGATTACAGGAGCACGCCACCACACCCAGCTAATTTTTGTATTTTTAGTAGAGACAGGGTTTCACCGTGTTGGCCAGGATAGTCTCGATCTCCTGACTTCATGATCCTCCTGCCTCGGCCTGCCAAAGTGCTGGGATTACAGACGTGAGCCACCGCGCCCTGTTAAGGTAAGCCTCTTTCTAGGCACTGGAGACATGACATTAGACAAGAAAAAGTCCTGACCCATGTGGGATTTACAGTCTGATAGCTCCAACCATCATGGAATTCCAATTTGAACCTAAAGGGTTAATGCCAGATGACACAGGGCAAGGGACCTCTCCAAGTTCTGGCTGCAGAGGGATGCCAAATACATCCTCTTTAGCTGGGATGAGTTGTTGCACGTATCACTGCCCTGTGTGTGTCTGTGTCATAAAGTTGACCTAATCAGTGATTTTCACGTGCGCAAATAAAGCCCAACTGTGGAAAGGGTTTAGTGGTCACATGGAGACCAAATGCCTAGCACAGTGAATGTACTAAGTCTGGAAAAAAGGCTGCAGACAATCATGTTGTGACCTGAAACAGAGCTCATGTGATTGACATTCCCCACAGTTCATGGGCTGATACCAAAGCTCATGTGAAATAAAGGAGACACCAAGAGTGCAAAGTCACCATTAGTTACTTAATCTCGCCTGACAACACCCTGAAACAGCCAGAAGAGTAACGTGTCATGTCTGCACTGCAAAAATTGTTTCCAATTGTGGACAGAAAAATGCACTAACAGGTACCATTTTTGTTATGTGTTTCGCTATTTATCCCATCAAATAGAAAGCCTGGCAGTGAAAGGAAGTGTGAGAATAAAAATGCACTGAGAATGGATCACGCTTCCTTTCTATTTGCATCTATTCGGTACTTAGCTCCTGCCTGCAGTATCGTGTTTGAACATCTGCTTGTCTCTATCAGGCCTGATAGCAGGGATATGAATGACTAACTCTTGTATTCTTACAACTCCTTGGACAGTTTTTTGGTAACCCCCACTACCAACAATTAATGCTTCTTAAGTTGAAATTTCAGAAAAGACTCTGTCCTAAAACACATACAAGCACAGACATTAAACCTGGATACTACATAACAAGGAGGGAGGTAACTATTCAATTGGATACAAGGATCAGAATGGAAAGATGGAAAGAAACTCATGAAATTGCACCCAGTTTTTGTGTATTTATCAAACTTGTCCTGAGAATAGTGTCTAATTATGCAACATTTAAACAAAGTTGGGTATAATTAGGTGAAGATGGCCCAGCTCCTCTCAGGAGCACAGAGGGGCGAGGGGCTGGTCCTTCTTGTTTGCTCCCGTCTGGCTTTGCTGTCAGGTGTAGCATCTCTGCTGCTTCCATCTGCACTAATTGACCCAAAATGTGGGTGTTTTCCTGCTACAGAAAAGCCAAAAGCTTTCACGTAGATTTTAGGATCACTAAAAGGTGCCCAGAAAATAGAGATGAATTTTAACTTAAATTTTAAGCTTGAAGATTAGATACTATCTTTGAAGTTACACTTTTTTTTTTTTTTTAAAGGTAGAGATGTAGGTGTGTAGGTATTAAAGATGTGTTGTTGGTTTCCAAAAAGGAACACTGGAAAATAAATTTTGAATGATTGTGTTTCCAGAATTAGGTTGACAGTCCCTTGCTGACACGACTTTGCTTTGTGTAAATACAGTGGATCTCAATCTTTGGGGTGTACTGAATGGCCAATCATCTCAGATCCTTGAGCACTCGGTCTAGTGAAGATGTTGTCATTATGTATGATAAATAACTAGTTTAATTAACTATGTGATGTTAACTATTATTAATAAATTTTAACATTTTCCAAAAAAACAAAAAAACAAAAAAAAAAAAAAAAAAAAAAAAAAAAAGAAATTTCAGAAAAGAGGAAAAGCCTACATCATCGTGAAATATGATTAGGGTAGTTTCCAAAACTCATTAGGCCACGTAATTCTATTTTACCAGTAACTTTGCACTTCCTGCTTCACACGCCTAATGCCCTATCTCCTGCTTCCTTTGAGCCTAAGAATCACTAGAAGATTGGGTGTTGAATATGGAAAGTCTCCCCCCACCAGGTTCCCAAACATCCTAGGTGTCCTCAGGACCCTGATTTTCTTTCTTTCTTTCTTTTCTTTTTTTTTTTTTTTTTTTTTTTTTTTTTTTTTGAGAGGGAGTCTTGCTCTGTCACCCAGGCTGTAGTGCAGTGGTGTGATCTCGGCTCACTGCAAACTTCACCTCCCAGGTTCAAGCAATTTCCCCGCCTCAGCCTCCTGAGTAGCTAGGATTACAGGCACCTGCCACCATGCCTGGCTAGTTTTTTTGTATTTTTAATAGAGATGGGGTTTCACCATGTTGGCCAGGCTGGTCTTGAGCTCCTGGCCTCAGGTGATCCGCCCGCCTCTGCCTCCCAAAGTGCTGAGATTACTAAAGGCGTGAGCCACCATGCCTAACTGAGGGTCCTGACTTTCATAAAGTCTTGGTTCACTTCCAGCCAAGGGCTTTCTACAAGAGACAAAGTAAAACCTGCAGGGCAATAAGTGGTCACTACTAGCAAACAGTGCATTAAGCATCCACTGCCTCTGGGGAACACTTGTAACAACGAACTTTCCCTGAGACTTCAAGACATCCCTAAGTCATAGTCGCAGGCAAAAGTAAAAGTTGCAGCAGCTCCATGCTGTCCATAAGTACATCTTCAAATCTCTCTCATCTTTCTGTGTAGGTGGTGGTGGTCAAGGGCAAGGTCAAGGCTCGCCTGTTCCCATTTGGTTCTGCACGTTGCTCACTAGAGGCAGCATTGACAATTAGCCTGATTAAAATCACCTGTGTTGCTTGATTATTATACAAATTCCCAGACCTCATCCCAGACCTACTGAAGCAAAATCTCTAGGAGCAGAGTCTGGGAATTTGCATCGTTGATAAAGCTCCCAGGTGATTCCTATAATCTGGCAAGCATGGGAGATGCAAGCATTAAGGGAGCCCAGCAACAGGCTGCATCCTCTGCCCAACATCATCAAGCTCAGGAGAGAGACTCGGTCCCAAACACATTGCTCCATTATGTACCTCAAGACGCTGTCCCCAAACCGTGCACAAATCACACTCAGGTCTGTCTCACACACTGGCAAAGCTGCTGCCCCCACAGCGCAAACCAGGTAGTCAGGCTGAGGAAGGCATCCTGACTGCTGATAATGAGCCATGTGACGTTAGAGATACAGCTGTGGCTGTTTGGAACATGACTGTTCTCGAAGGACTTTTCTCCTCCTTTTCACCACTTCACTCCCTTGAATGACTCACAGATCTCCATTTCCTGTTTTGGAGGCGCTGGCCGGCATACAGCCACAAGGGGAAACAGTCATTGGGCTTCTCTTTTTCACGTTATGTAATTATTTAACTTAACTATCACATTTGCTCTTGCAAATGCTCTCAGGAAGTGACATCACAACTTCTGTTCTCTTTATAATGACAGAATTACAACGCCTTCTGGTAAATGGTGGACAATTAGAACAATTTATACAATGTCCATTCCTGGAAAGATCTTTGCACATTTACTGAATTTAAACGAATATAAAAGCAGGAAAACCCTAAGTTTTATTGTAAATGGATATATAGATAATATTGCCAGATTTCATTTTTTGTAATTTTATAATACCTCACTGGTTTTTTTTTTTTTTTTTGGAGATGGAGTCTTCTTGTCACCCAGGCTAGAGTGCAGTGGCATGATCTCGGCTCACTGCAACCTCCACCTCCCAGGTTCAAGCAATTCTCCTGTCTCAACCTCCTGGGTAGCTGGGATTACAGGCACCCGCTACCACACCCAGCTAATTTTTGTATTTGTAGTAGAATGGGGTTTCACCATATTGGCCAGGCTGGTCTTGAACTCCTCACCTCATTATCTGCCCGCCTAAGCCTTCCAAAGTGCTGGGATTACAGGTATGAACCACTGCGCCCAGCCCACATTTTTTTTTTTTAACCTTGATTTTACTGAAGGGTCAGGAGAGACAAAGGCAGTGTTGGACAGGTCATGTACATTGTCAGCTACTTGACCGGGTACCGTGAGCAAGTTCGTCTGTCCAAGCCAACCTCAGCCTTCCTCTCTAAAAAAGGGACTGATGCTACTTTCCTAATCCTGCCATGACCTTTGCAAATAAAACGCTTAACTGAACACAGTGTAGTCCTCCAACACAGGTAAAGTAATTCCATCCTAATGCCATCTGGAATCCCAGAAGCAGTCAGTTATTATGCAGTGTCTTGCCCATAACTCAATACATGAAAAGACAAAAAGATTTATCTAAATGATCTTTTCAGAAATCACTGCACAATCCCCAAGATCCGCCTTACATAAAGGGCAACATATTCTGTCTTTGGGAAATGAAACAATGCCCCTGACCTGCCATTGATAAAGGATGCACTATGAGACATGAGTGCAAATAACAATCCTGACATGTTCTAAGCATGCAACGAATGCTTGCCCAGAAACCAAAGGAATGGATTTAATTTCTTGAGCTAAAAACTGCCCAAATGCTAGTATATGGTCCTTTAGAAGTCTCTCTACGCATTAGAAAGGATGCTGGTTGGGATTAAAGGCCAGTCTGTACCCAAGGAAACAAAACAGGCCCCAACTGCATTGTTCTAACAACTCGAGTGCAGCCACCAACACAGAAGTCTTCTCCTCACCGAAATTAAAGTTTCCAAAACGCTCTCCGGGGATCACTGGGCAACCATGGAGAAAGGACAGCTACTGACCTGATTGGTCCATTTTTCTCCCTGGCTTTCCTCAGTCTGAGGGGTGGCAGAGGTCCTCCGTGCACCATAAAAAATTCTACTTCTGGAAGGGGAGGCTCTGAAAACATGTTGAAAAGAAGAAAAGGGATATGATCAGAAGAAGTAAAACGCAGGACAACAGTAGTCCTCGTGAGGGCTACTAAAAGAGAAGTTTTCATTTCAGAAGCCAGGAGCATGGCCTGTACATGCCACAACATGGATAAACATGCTAGGTGAAATACACCAGGCACAAAAGGACAGATTCTGTATCCTTCTACTTAGATGAAAAACCTAACACAGGCAAATTCACAGAGACAGAAGAGGTTGCTGGGGTTGGAGGGGGCAATGGGAATGGGAGCGTATTGCTTAACAGTCACAGAGGTTCTACCTGGGGTGATGAAAAAAATTGAAATACACAGTGGTGATGGCTGCATAACATGGCAAGTAACCATGTGCTTCAAGATGGTTAAAATGGCACATGCTATGTTATGTGTTTTGCCACAATAAAAAGAAGTGATGAGTATGCCACAGCACAGGCAGAGGACGGATGTGGTGGGCATTACAGTTTGCTTGGTGGGTTGATTCCCACTTGGTAGGGAAGACACACCACATCAGACTTCTTTTTTTTTTTTTTTTTTTTTTTGAGACGGAGTTTCACTCTCGTTACCCAGGCTGGAGTGCAATGGCCCAATCTCAGCTCACCACAACCTCCGCCTCCTGGGTTCAGGCAGTTCTCCTGCCTCAGCCTCCTGAGTAGCTGGGATTACAGGCACATGCCACCATGCCCAGCTAATTTTTTGTATTTTTAGTAGAGACGGGGTTTTACCATGTTGACCAGGATGGTCTCGATCTCTCGACCTCGTGATCCACCCACCTCGGCCTCCCAAAGTGCTGGGATTACAGGCTTGAGCCACCACACCCGGACCACATCAGACTTCTATATCCTTTCTAATCACAGAGCTCTCTGTCCTTATTTCCCATGCCCAGCAATAAGATTTCCCAAATAGGTTTTCCATCAGGAGGAAAATATACTGACTGGCTGACTCCAGTGCTCTCGCACCTCACTGGTGGTTCCATTCATGGTGTAAACGTGCTACCATTCTGCCTTGTGGGGAACATGCTAAGCTAGACACACTGGGCACTAACCGTTCACACTAGGTGTGTTCTCTATATGCCTCATCTTACTTCAGCTCAACAAGGCTACCAAGTGGATGGTGTTTATAAAAGCAATTGTTTGCTCCCTCTCTAGGGGTTTCTACCTTAGCCCATGCAAGGTAGGAACTTTTTCCCTCTCCAAAGTATGAGGAAAAGAGCTTCCACCTGGCCCTCTCTCTCTGTGATTTGTGAAACAGCTAGTTCCCACCTGGCTCATCCTTTTTATTTCTTTTTCTTTTTCTTTTTCTTTTTTTTGTGGGATGGGGGTTACCTGGATGCAGGACAGGTGATTTCCCACCTCCTAGTCCCACTGTCCCTTTCTAAGCAAACCTGACTCAAAGTAAGCCTGAAGCCTGGTCCACATTTGCCCTATAGCTGGGGTTCCCAATTCCCAGATGGTGGACCGGAACCAGGCCACACAGCAGGAGGTGAGCAGTGGATGGGTGGGCATCCCCGCCTGAGCTCCACCTCCATCAGATCAGCAGCAGCATTAGATTCTCATAAGAGCACGAATCTTACTGTGAACTGCGCGTGGGAAGGACCTAGGTTGCACACTCCTTATGAGAATCTAACGCGTGATGATCTGAGGTAGAACAGATTTTATCCTGAAACCATCCCCCAACCCACCCTGGCCCATGGAAAAATAGTCTCTAGAGAAACCAGTCCCTGGTGCCAATAAGGTTGGATACCACTACTCTATAGCTTCACCTTCCCCGTAGGTGGGGCAAAAAGTGTAGGTATGGGAGGAAGTTCCAGAAGCTTCATTTTGTCTGGGCGTGGTGGATCATGCCTGTAATCCCAGCACTTTGGGAGGCCAAGGCAGGCAGACCTGAAGCCAGGAGTTTGAGATCAGCCTGGCCAACATGGTGAGACCCTGTCTCTAGTAAAAATGCAAAAATTAGCTAGGTGTGGTGGCCTGCGCCTGAAGTCCCAGCTACTTGGGAAGCTGAGGCAGGAGAATCGCTTGGACCCAGGAGGCAGAGGTTGCACTGAGCTGGGATCACACCACTGCACTCCAGCCTGGGTGACAGAGACTCTGTCTCAAAAAAAAAAAAAAAAAAAAGAAGCCTCAGACCCAAACCAGTTTTACCAGCAATAAAACTGTTTACTTTGATCCCTCTCTTACTCTTGTATATCTTCTTCAATTTCCCCAGAGGTAGAACAAGTACAGCTTTTACCTTAGAAAAACTCATTTTATGGATAAGGAAATCGATACATGAAGAGATTGTTACTTGTCCAAGGACACAAGTAGTACAGCCAGCATTTGAACTCATGCTCTGCTACACACCTCTCTCATTCACCTTGGGGTATCTTGAACATTTGGTTCTCCCAATTGATCCAGCAAATTTTCATCACCTTTGCGTGAACTAATAAACTCTACTTTAAAAACACTGGCCAGGGGCAGTGGCTCACACCTGTAATCCCAACAGGGAGGCAGAGGCAGGCGTATCACTTGAGGTCAGGAGTTCAAGCCTAGCCTGGCCAACGTGGTGAAACTCCGTCTCTACTAAAAAATATAAAAATTATCCAGGTGCGGTGGCACACACCTGTAATCCCAGCTACTCAGGAGTCTGAGGCAGGAGAATCGCTTGAAGCTGGGAGGAGGAAGCTGCAGTGAGCCAAGATCGTGCCATTGTACTCCAGCCTGGGTGAAAAAGTGAAACTCCGTCTCAAAAAACAAAAATAAAAACACTGAATCCCCAAAGATTTTATAAACACATCAACTCCGAGAAAATGATCCATTTGCCACAATTACTGCAGAGTTTGAGGGCTACCCAATGTGCTTCATATCAGAGAAGCTAGACCGTAGTTAAACTGTAGTTAATCCCCATGATGTCCTACGTGGGTAGGAACACGGGACCGGCATTGCTATCCTGGTTTTACCACTTACACTTCCAGCAGCCTCATCTGTTAAATAGGGGTAAAAATAATCTCCACCTCATAGGTCTGTTGAGGGAATTAGTAAGTCAATTAATAATGATTAACCATCATAGTTAATGAATCAACACAAGTAAAGATAATAAAACAGTGCCTGGAACACAGCAACCCTCAGCACCTGTTGGCATCTGTCTAATATCACTTGAGCTACTAGCTGCCAATTCTATGCTAGGAACTTTGCCTCTGCTCTTTCGTCAAATCCTCACAGCAGCTCTGCGTGACAATCATCTCTATCTTATCAGTGAGGAAATCAAGGCTCTGGCCAGTTGAGTCACACCACTAGAAGACGGCTGGCCGAGCCAAGCGTAACACTCAGGGTAATTGGACTCCAAAGTCTCCTTTGCTTGCCGGGCTCTGACAATATTTGTGTTCACTTTGCCTGAGATTAAACCATGACCTAGAAGTAGAAACCTGGAATTACAAATCCCTGAGGAATGAGAGACCTCTGTGCCATCCCCAGCCTGAGACGGTAAAGAACAGAGCTTGCGGGTCCTGGGAGTGTCAAACACCAGGGATCTCTCAATTAGCGATGTTCAAAGGGAAGGAATGAGTCAAAAAGAAAGGACCCCAGGGGGAGGCCATAGGGACAGGTTTAGCTCTTTCCCAGCTTGAGCACACAGGAAATGTAATTCAGGGGACTGTGACATGTAATACAGAAAGAGGGTTCCCTACAGGACAGGGAGCAGCAGCAGAAGCCAGGCAAAAGGCAGTGTCCCTAAGTCAGGGCTGGAAAGCATTCTGCAGAATGTGCTTGCAAGAAAACAAACCTGGAAGAGACCAAGGAAAGTTGCAACCCTGTAATTGCAAAACTCTCAAAGATGAGATACCCTGTGCCTGAGATTCTCCGAGTCCGTATATGCTGTCTTTTCATATGTTACATGTGTTATATGTATGTGCTCAGCATCCCTTTTTCTGTGGAGAGCAGCCCTTCCCCTTCCCATATGGTTCTCATGGGGCCAGCATTCCCAGTACTCCAAATCCCCACTGGCCCAGGGCCCAGTGATCATGGGATTGCCATTCCCCAGTCAGAAGATGGGTCAAAAAGAGCGATCTGTTTAACTTTAGGAGATTGGAGGCTTGGGTTTTTTTTACTGTTTATTTGTGTTTTTTGTTTTTTTTTTTTTTTGAGATGGAGTCTTGCTTGTCGGCCAGGCTGCAGTGCAGTGGCACCATCTTGGCTCACTGCAACCTCCGCCTCCTGGGTTCAAGCGATTCTCCTGCCTTAACCTCCTGAGTAGCTGGGACTACAGGCATGAGCCTCCATGCCCAGCTAATTTTTGTATTTTTAGAAGAGACGGGGTTTCACCATGTTGCCCAGGCTGGTCTCAGACTCCTACCTCAGGTGATCTGCCTGCATCAGCCTCCCAAAGTGCTGGGATTACAGGCATGAGCCACCCTGCCCAGCCTAGGAGATTGGAGGGTTTTATTCTTCTTTTTAGATTGTAGCTGTAAGTATCAGGTAGGCCAACAGTACAATGTCCATCCTCCCAGGTCTGCCTGGAAAAGTTTGGCAGAAAGAGGGACTCATGGCTGGATGCGCAACAGGGCTGTGGTGACACCACGTGCGGCTGGAGCTTGCCATGCTCCAAGCGAGATCCCTCCCTGGCCTTCCCAGTTCTGCTGTCCCACAAATTCCACATGCTTAAGCTGGTTGGAGTTGGGTTTCTGTTACTGGCAACCAACAGAGCCCTGGCTATAGAATGCATCCAGTGCCCTGGTATTCTGTGGAAGGGCAGAGCCCTCAGCTGTGTACTGGTGGGAACTCTGGTGCTAGGCCGAGCGGACAGGATAGGGAAACAGTCCTTATGCATTTGTGTGAGAAGAACTGCTGTGAATTCCAGGCCCATCCTAAACCCCCTGGGTGGTGGAGACAGGGAGGACAGCAGGAAGAACTGCCTTAAGGACTTCCTTCAGACTCTGGACTAAACCATTTCGGCTTCAAAGTCTATCACTGCATCAGCTCAGTGGGACAAGGGAGGAAGGGCA